CAGATGCTCAGAAGGCAGAGTGGTGGTGTCTGATGAGGAAAAGAAGAAACAGCCGGGTCCAGTACCTGACTTGCAGATGCTCAGAAGGCAGAGTGGTGGTGTCTGATGAGGAAAAGAAGAAACAGCCGGGTCCAGTACCTGACTTGCAGATGCTCAGAAGGCAGAGGAGAGGTGTCTGATGAGGAAAAGAAGAAACAGCCGGGCCCAGTACCTGACTTGCAGATGCTCAGAAGGCAGAGGAGAGGTGTCTGATGAGGAAAAGAAGAAACAGCCGGGCCCAGTACCTGACTTGCAGATGCTCAGAAGGCAGAGAAGAGGAGAGCAATGGAAATCTGTAGGCCAATCCTTGGGATGGAAAAGCCATCACTGCTAATGAAGCCCCATCCTAGCTCTGGGGATAAAATATAGGGGAAAGAGATGAATAGATGTGGCAGACAACTATTCATCTCCCTGCCAGACAAACTTGAGAAATAAACATTTTGCCTGGGCTGCTGGTGATCCTAATAAAGGAATCATTTATTTAACTTCAGAGGGTTTGTCGTGTTTGGGAAGCTCGGACAGAACACCATATAGGTAGAACTTTAGTCACATGGCCATGAACGCTATCAGTGTCAGTCATATGGCCAGGAACACTTTTGTCAGTCACACGGCCATGAGCACTTTTGTTATCCTATCCTGTGGGGACCTGCTTGAAATGTTTATGAATGCTTAACATTTATTGGATACAAAGCTTAGCACGTAGCTCTCTGAACAGCCACAGTATCACCTGTTCAGAAGCTACTTAGCTACATTCACATAATACACTTAAACCTATTATAGAATTAATCCTATTTTCTAGATTCATACAATACTATACAATAAATCATAAATAGACAAATAAACATACTAAACCTATACAAACTAAGCAAGGTTACCATAACCAACCTTACTACATTGTAAAATGCTACTATTTATTTAATTGAGTGTCTTAAGCATGCTATATGAATTCAGCAATTGTCTTGTTTTCAAAGTTCCTAAAATGGGCCAGCTGGAAAGTTGACACTTAACCTCTGTGTAAATATAATCACTAAACTATGTACCAATCACTTGTCTGGAACTAGTTCTAATCAAAAGAATTGAAGCATTGGGACATTGAGACAAGGATGTGTTTTTAATTTTAAAAAGGGCCCTCAATAAAATTCTTTTCTTGAGTAGGATTAGAAATGACTTTGCTATGAGATATATTTCTTTACTAAATTTATATGGTCAATTAATTGTTGTTCTGAATAACACACTAAAACAAACAATATGAAAATAATATAATGAGTTACAGCAATAAAACATACAACATAAGGTAAATGTTCATATAAGTGGTCTAGCATTTCCCCCCGCCCCCATTCTAAATCCTGGGGCAAAGCCATGGTATTATAGATCATTATAAAAAAGAGCAAGAAAGAATTTATATACATATCTGAGGAGATGCTGTTCCAGAAGACAGACACTGCAATAGACAAGGCCTACTTCTTGGATCCCCGTTGGATGACACCATTTGATCAATGGGATTCCCAAGCAAGTCAATTCAAATTGTAAAGGATCAATATAAACTACTGGAGTCATGATTCCTTAGATATCCAGGCCTTATGTCATGAAAGGCTTTATAGGCAGCAACCAGCATCTGGAATTGTAGCTGGAAATAGCTAACAAGCAACAGAGCTCACAAAACTCATAAAGCAGATGTTACATTCTATGGCATCTTCATTACTGCCTGAACCCACTGCATCTTGTATTATCTGCCACTTCTGAGTAATCTTGAACAGCAACCCTTTATGGACTACATCACAATATTTCTTACGTGAAGTGACTAAAGCATGAGTGACTACCTGGAGGGGTTCCCTAAGCCAGAATGTCTACAGCTGGCACAAAAATTAAATCTGTGCAAAGGTTTTCCCATCTGAGCTGCCTCTGCTTTTCAAGTAAGACTTGCAAATTAAAAAAAAACCCACTTCAAAATGTCTACCAATCATGAATAGAGGAATGCAAGCTCACTGAGAACTAAAAGTAAAAATTCTGCGACTTGATGGTTCCCACTCTTAATCCCCATAGTTGGTCCAGAACAATGCCATGATTAATGGTACTAAAAGCCAATGAAAAATCATGGAGAATTAGAATTCTTCTGGAAGCCTGTCTTAGGTCTGCCAAAGATCATTAACAAATGTTATCAAGACTGTTTCAGACAGCTGACCTATGTAGACCACTATCATAAATATGAACCAGTTGCCAAGCATCTGAATTTTGACTTCATGACAATGGGGTTGCTGCAATGATCAAAAGTGTGAAAAACGGTCATGTCACTTTTTTCAGTGTGGTCGTAATTTTGATCAGCACTAAATGAACTGTTGTAACCACTGTATTAAGCTAACATCCAAGAATCTATTGATTCTTCTAGTATAGAAAAATGTCCTAACATTTTACTGGAATCTACCTATTATAATTTCCATTTCAGAGGAACCATTGAAAACATTTCTTCCTTCCAGCCAAATATGGATTGACTAAAGTTGTTCCACCAGATCCATTCTGAATCATTTGATATCATAGAGTCCTGACAGAAATTTCCTGACAATTAGAACAATTAATCAGTGGAACAAATTACCTCCGGAAGTTGTGAATACTCCAACACTGGAAGTTTTTAAGATGTTGGATAACCATTTGTTTGAGGTAGTAGGGTTTCCTGCCTAAGCAGGGGGTTGGACTAGAAGACCTCCAAGATCCCTTTCAAATCTATTATTCTCTTCTATGAATAACAAAGCAAGTCCTTTCTCAAATATTTCAATGCTATCAAAATATATTAGGGCCACATCATACATACATCCATAACACATCCATCTGTTAAGGAAATTGTCTAAATAAAATTGGGCTCACAGGCCAATGTTTTGGAATTGTACAAGTCAAGGTAATAATATATCAAAGTTTTACTGTATTATTTCTCCAGATTAGTTCTAATTATTAAGGTCAAAGCTGGAAACATATTTGTAAAGTATTCCATTTGTTTGCTGGAATATGTTTATTTTGTAGCCTGTAAAATAGCATATGGAAAAACTATTTCAAGATGGTTTAAGAAATGTAATAGTTGGACATCTATACATTTGGATTATGAATTCCACAGAGCATGAATAGGGATATTAAAAATACAGGAATGTAGCATGCTATATATTTTTATAGGCATTGAATGAAAGTGTTTTGTAAAGTGTACATGTGACTTTTCCTTCAGGCCCTGATGTGCTTTTATCATATACATCCAAATACATTCAATTAAAAGTGGGCTTTCTTTATACCCTATGATTCATGTTTAGTATGGTTCATGATGCTTGCTCAAAAAAATCCAGGTCCTGGAGAAGTGAAGGAACTGTAGAGTTTGAGGTTCAAAAAGTGTTGCATTGTTATTTGTTTTACATTGTAATTAAGAAAGCAATATCTTTCAATCTGTGAATGTATAATATTTATGATTCCATGCTCATTTCAATGTACCAGCATATTTTCAGAATATTTAGATTTCATCTGATGCTAATCATTTCTTATTTTGTATTATGTGATCAAGATCTTTATTCTTACAAATAAAAGAAGACTGTGAGCAAGAACAAAAGTTTGTTCATCTTTAAAGTACACAAAAAAAAACCCAACCCTGTGTTAATGGATAGAAAATACTTCTATGAAAACATCTGCAGTTTTGGAATATTAACATTTCTAATAAAGTGGAACTGATATGTGCCAAAATTCAACAGATTTTCCATTGAATTAAAATGCAATTTATTTTATACTATTTTTTCACTGAAAGTTAACATTTCCCCTTCAAGAGAATTACATCTGTTTCACCTTGTTAGGAGTAATACAGACGTGTGGCAGGAAAGGAAAACACAATAGAACTTTTCAGAACCTCTTTACACATATGGATCTTCATGAATATAAGGTCTAGCTTTATTTAGTACATGTAGTACTAAATTAGTACATGTAGAAGTCAGTCAGATTTGTTTAACATGAGAACAAGGATAGAATATGATAGAATATCAATTTGAGGCTGAATGTCCAACAAATTGCTGATTTGTAGGTCAGGAAATGTTTGAAGGGGCACAGAATTCCAATCAACAATATACAGCACAATAGAAAACTTTTCTTTCTTCTGGAAGGCTTCCTCTCCTTTGGATAATCTTTTGGATAATCTAACCTTCCATAGGGTAGAAAGGACTAAAGTAAAGTGATCCCATCCCTATAGAACAGTCTTCTAGGTCTAGCAAACAACACATCATCAAAAATATGCCCATTGTTTTAACTAATAGAGCTGATGAACTTGCATCTAACAAAATCCACATTAAAATTTCCACTAAAAATAATTTGATGATTTGCAGCTCTTGGCTCATCTAAATTCTTTTCTTGCAGTTAACATTATAAGGAAAAGGATTAAAAATGCAGATAGTCCTCTATTTAAAACTGTTTAGTGACCATTCAGAGATATGTTGGCATTGAAAAAAGTGACTTACACCTGGTTCTCATACTTATGACTTTTGAGGCATCCTCATAGTCCTATGATTGTAATTCAGGCACTTAATAATCAGAATATCTTTACAATAGTTGGAGCATCTGGGATATCTGAGAACATGGGCTCTGCAGGAGTTTGTTCTTTTAAGTAAAATGCTATCCTACAAATTCTATCTGTTTTGTACATACGGCATCAGAATGTACATATAAAAGAAGTGGGACTAGCATTACAATAACAAGGCATTGCTTCCATCATTCCTCTCTTCCCCAATTGTCTTTCCTCTGGATGCCTCATCTGAAGATGATTTTAGGGATTTGTCTTGTTTAGTTGGATATAAAAGTGATACCTTTTATGGAACTTTTGGGACCATAGGCTCTCATTATTTCTATAACTTAAATGAAACAGGCTTGTTAAAAATGCTCAAACCATTTGATTTTAGGAAGAAGAGATATTTTTATTCAGTGTTTATTTCTAACAAAAAGCAATATTAAAAATTGTCTGTACTTTTGCATGCATCTTAGAATACAAAATACATTTCTGTATTAAGTTTTATCAAAGATAAACATACAATTGTCTGAAATACCATATTTTGTTTTGTTTTTCCTTTGAACAAAATATGTATTTAGGTACTGTAAAGCAATATCAACTTTTTATTCATTCTGTAATTCTTATTAAATGTTCTTTATTCATTCACATAATTCTTTCAATATTCACAAAGTAGGTAATCTGAAAGCATAGAATTACAATGGCATTAAAAATGAAACAGAAATCTTACTGTATTACAGTACAATACATTGAGTACAACAGGAATTATTGAGGTAATTGGGAACAGACTTCTAACTTTAGTCTAGCAAAGAACAAAAGTCATCAGAAAACTAATTCCTATGGACTAAGAAGTTGACAATACACAATTTTTGATCTTCAAAAATATATTGACCTTTAAAATTCCACAAGAGTGCTTGTTGTTTAAAATTTGCATTCAAGCAAATATGAGTTGTGCAGATTTTGTCTCTGCAAAAAGAATTTAATTTATATTTGGTTCATTCTACTGTTTTCTTATATAGCACATAGCTAGGCATACTATAAGGATACCACACATAAAGCATCACATTCTTCTTGAGTTTCAAATCTATTTTTATTTCCACCACAGCCACCATACCAGAACTGGAAGCACATGTTTTGCTGTTTATGGAAGTACCACTTCAGAGTATAATTTTCACACTCGCCACTGTCCATATCTTTTGAACAAGAATCTACAAAAATAAAATAAAAATGCTTTTTGGTTAGTGACATGAGATCAATCATGATGAATCTTGCTGTCAAGAATAAGAGAGTGGGAAATTTAGAGATAAGAATTCATGTTGTACAAAAATGTACTATACATACAGTCACAAATTAAGCATCAGCCTACAACCATAACTGGCTAATGATTAGAATAAGGCAGTTTCATAGAAACAATAAAAACTTTGCACTGGAAGCCTTGCATGAAAAGAAGAAAAGAACTGAAATGAAAAGGCGAAAGATTTATACGATCTGAAGAGAAACCAGATAGAGTCCATAAATATAGAGGTGTTGGCTTATCTTTGGCTTGATGTGGGTTATTGCCTGCGCAGGCTTTCTCAGCTGTCAAACTCAGTTTTGTTTTCATTCTACCCTCCACAACTCTATCCTAATTTATTATTGTTAATTTTCTTTCCATTTTAGTCCAAAGATTTCCAAAGCAGCTTACATACAAAATATAAGAAATCAATGAGTTTAAAAACAACTCCAATAATGAAATTCCTTAAAGCCAGTATAATGTAGGACTAAGAAAAATTATTTCTTAAAATTTGGAACATAACAGGAAATCGCATCCAGCACTGGGAAACCTTTCTTTTAAAAAATCATGCTAAGGTTGGTGCACCAGAATTGAAATGAAATGTCTTCATTTCTAGTGAGAGAAAAATCCAGAGGCAAGTAAGTCTTCAAGCACCCCTTCCATTACCGGCAGATAGAAATACTCTCTGCAATGAGAAGCAGAAGCCATACACTTATTTCAAGCCTCGCAAGACAGTTTGAAAGAGAGGTTCTACATTTTTTTCCCATCAGCTCTTGAAATGTAATTTCAAAGAGGAGAGAATTGTGCAGTATTTGTCCTGAAGAGTGTGTATCCCTGTACTTATTTTATCTTGAGGTAATTAAAGAATATACTGTGTAATGTCCTGTGTTGCACTGTATACTCATGTCTCCAGTGACATACAGCTTCCTGGCTTTTCTACACTTTAATTAGGTTTCCTGTCTAGAATAAGTTTAATCTCCTTATGAAACAAAGAGTCTTTATATAGTCATTTGCTTTGATTTAAAAAAAAAATCAAAGTATGGCTTTTTTAAAATGAATAATATCATCCTAACAAGCTTTTTGAATGTTCAACAGTTCCTTTGAATACAAGTTAGCAAAGATTTCTTGCCATGTTTGTTCTGCAGCATCTTCAATAGGGAGTTCTTGCTGTGTCTCTCTCCTTGGAACAATTCCAGACATGGTTAACTACATATACTTACCAGTAAGATTCATAGAATCATTGGGTTTAAAGGAATTGAATACTATCCATGCAAGGCAGGAGTCCTCCTACCATCTTGGACAAATGGTTGTTCAATCTTTTCTTGAAAACCTCCAGCTGTTTGTTTATTTGTTTGTTTGTTTGTTTCACATTTCTGAACCACCATCTCCCTCAAAGGATATGGCTATGATAGTTTAAAATCTCTCCAGTAATAATCCTAACTAATCCAACATTATGAAATTAGGCAAAGGATGTTGTAGACATTGGTGGAATGAAAAGGCAAGATTCATTGTGTTAATTCATTCTATACACTCCTTAACTTCTTCAATGCCTATTTGCTTAATCATATTTTTCTCTCAATTAAGGTAAACAAAATTGGACCTTCACCAGAATATAAGCATCATGTTTCTTCAATCTTCATGCAATTTTGGTTAGATTGATGAAAGAAAAAAAGGAAATTTGGTGAGTGCTATACGTATATATAAAATGAAACAGTACTTTGACTCAAAAGAGTTCTTCCCTCTCCCTTCAAGTTAGTGTACAAAATGCAGCCTTTTCTATCAATTTCCTTTACTCTACAACTAATATGCTGCCACTCTAGGTTTTCTAAGTATAATTCTTTTCGGTTCTTTCCTCCAGAAATATATGTTTCTGTATATTACTTGGCTATTATTATTATTTTTATAGGTATGGATGGTGTATCTCTTGCACTATCTAATTTGAAAGCCTAATAATAAATGGTCCTGGTTTAATTGATCAGTTCCAAACCTACATAATTAAAATATTTCTCTATCAGCCTTTTCTCTGTCTTCTGATGCCTTCCAAATATGCTTGATTATAGCGTCCATAATCCTAATTCTATGGTCTTCCAAGATGGATAAGAAAGGAATTATAGTACCTAATAGCAGGGATATCTTCATAATATACAAAGAGGAATTCAAAGCAATGAGGTATTTCCATTTTAAAAACTGTGAACAAATTTAAAAAAAATGTGTGCAAAAATGTAAAAACAACAAAATTAAAATGGACTTGGACTGAAGTGGAAATGCTTGCTGACCAACAGACTATTCTCTAGAGATTTCAGATCAATAAAAGGAAGAATTTCAGTTTAAACACATTTTCAGGTATAACTTTTACTTTTGTCAAACATAGTAAGTTCCACTGAATGATATGTCTAACTACTTTAGTGCAGAACATGATGAAGAAAAATAAAGGAGATGGAAAGAAATAGGGTACATGTCTTCTATGTCTCAACTCTTGTTGCCAGAATTAACTCTGACAGCCTTTGATCACAAAAAAAAACTGATTACTAAAATGTATAAGCGTCTCCTTTAGTTTTAGGAACTGAGCTGTAGGCTGTTTTTTCTGAAAACTTCCCCAACATTAAGTATACACATGGCAGGCATCACATCTTTAATGTATCATTATAATGATAGATAACATTTCACATTTTAGAGAGTTTTTATAAAATCACCCAGTAGACAATTTTTAATATCCCCATTTATATAATGTGCATCCATATATACATACTCTTTGCACTTTGTACTTCCTCAAAATGTTCTTCAGTCTCTGTCCCATTTTGCATACTGATGCTGGTGAAGTATTTATTTTCTATTTGACCATACTGTTCTTCTTTTGGTCCTTGGATGATCTTTAAATTTTTGTTTTGCACATTTTTCCTGGATAATTCTGAAGGTTGCAACAAATCATTATGTTTCAATCCAGGAAATAGAATCCTATAAAGGGAAAGGGAGCAAAAAGGTAATGCTTTAGTTACACGATTTTGAAAATTATACCCGAGGAGTCTTTAATTCAGATTGGTATATCACAGTGGTGGGTTTCCAAAATTTTTGGAACCTCTTCTGTAGGTGTGGCCTGCTTTCTGGGTGCACTGGTGGAATCTCTTCTAACTGGTTCAGTAGATTTGATGAACCGGTTCTACCGAATAGGTGTGAACTGGTAGGAACCCACCTCTGGTATATCATTATCCAACTTAGGACATTCTGATCAGCTAAGGCCTATGCAATTATTACCATTTGCTTCTCATGAAGAAAAACTGATTTTTGTACCTGTCAGTTATCCCTACAGCTTGCTGATAGTTGTCTCCTCGATCCAGATTGTCACATTTTTCTTCCATGTTTTTAGGAGGATAAATATTCAATTCCCCTGGGAGGATGTGGAAAGACACTGTTTAGAGTTGAATACTACAATAAATTATTTATTCATAAATAAAAAATACTGATTGTGTTTAAACAAATGTCTGCATGTTCATATTCTATTATTTGAGGAGATTTAGTAGTGAGTTATGTCCTGCATTCCTCTGTCACATGTATATACATTCCATTAGATCAGGGATGGGAGATTATGGCCCCTTTATGATCTGTGGACTTCAACTCCCATAATTCCAGAGCCAGCTTTTAAAATTTCCAGCTGAGCTTTATAGTACCAGATCATTCAAAGCATGGCTGGCTCAGGAATTCTGGGAGCTGAAGTCCACAGATCATAAAGGGTCACAGTTCCCCACTCCTACATTAGATATTTGCTCATAGGCTTGGGTAAGAGGTTGCTGAGACAAAGAATGGTTTAATATCACTTAGCAAATCAGAATGTGATTACATCCAAGCTTATTTTCCTAGATTGTCATATATAACAGGGCATGTTGTCACATCTCTAACAATCCATGTAGATGTCAAAATAATAAGTGTGTCAGGCATCAACAAACAGTCCCACAAAAGGAATTAAAGTATACCACTTACTTTCCAAAAGTTTTAAGAAGGCCTGGCTAAACCTTAGAGCATATAGCAATTCAAACTTATGAACTTTGCCCATCTGTAATAGGTGCTGCTCCACTGGAACACTGGAGAGTTCTGTCATTTCTGAATCATCAGTTTCACTGCCAAGGGCCAAGGTGAACATGGTGAATCCTCGGCATTTGGCTTCCAATGACATTTTCAGAAGTTTCTCTCTATCCCAGGCACTTGTCTTACTTCCCAGTATTGTAAAAATGATCTTGTGCTTTCTTGGCCTATTAGCTTCCAAAAACACATTATTAATGGTCCATTCTAGAGCATGACCCACAGCTGATGAACCTTCCAGTTGGTGAAGTGATTCCTGTATATGCATTTTCATCAGATCCTTAGTATTGTATGTAGTCAAGTTAAACTCTAAAGATACTGAGCTTGATAATTCAGTCCCTGAGAAATTTGGTGGAGCGTGTTGAACCAGAGCCACTCTTGCTCCTTTGTCTGACTCAACAGGTAGTGAAGCAATAACAAAATAATCCAACATTTTGCTCACAAACTCCTTCATTGTTTCAAACACCTCACTGCTGACATCCTGAGAGCCATCCATGATGTAAGCTACATCCATATTTATATTAATTGGAGGGGGATCCACTATTTCACATTGTGAAACAGGGTTACATGCATCTGTGGAAGAAGCACAAAGTAATGATTATTTTCATGAAGTGACTGAAAAGCTGAATGTACAGAGATTATATTTTGCTTGGTTTCTCTTTTATAAATGTTTCTCAACAAATGAATTTGAAATTACCTTCACACAGACACAAGAAATGCTATGAGTAGGAACACTGAAAATTATAGTTTTATTAAATTTGAAGGGACCTAGTTTGAGAAGGTATATTTAAAGGTACTTAGAGTAGCTGTGATTAGAACTTTATTCATATTTTAAAATATCTGTATGTGATGAGAGTATTCTACACATTGATTGATTGAATGTATTTATTTTTTATGGTCAATAACTAATTGATTGATCAGTTTAACAATATATATTAAAAACTATAAACCAGCAGCATCCAGAGACCAGATTCTGGGCACCAAAAAGTCACAATGGTGCCTATGCAATTGAAACCATGTCCCTTTTTTCATTGTGTTACCTGCACAACACATGTAAAAAGGGGAAGGTGTTCAAGCACAGAGTTGTAGTTGCTTCTTATTTTTTAACCCCTACTGCTAATGCCTCTGGTAGAAGCAAGCGACATAATGAGTATCAAGGCATTTTATGAAATAAAAGTAAAATAACAGACCAAATAAAAGCAATATGCTAAAGTAAATAAAAACATATTAACTTGCACAAAATATTAGTTATAAATCTTCCTATTTAACTTAGCCATATCTTCTGTTCATAGGAAACTACTTATACTATTTCTTTAAAAAAATTAAATAATATATAAAAACCAAATAATGAATCATGGTCCATAGATAGAATACCTTCTCCATATAATAAATGTACATTACACTTAAGGTTATGGTAGCCTTCCAGTTTCAAACTCTCCACATGTATTGGATTACAATTCCCTTTTTTTCTTATTAGCACTATTCCCCGAAAGATTTTGATCAGTAAGTCAACTAAGCAAGATATCTTATTTTCTAAATTTCCAGCAAATTGCCAGATCATTCAAAGTCTTAGCTTTCATCTTAATCATAAATATCTGTGAGGTGAGCAAGAAATATCACTGAAATTATTTAACCTATGAACTTAAGTATATCTGATGCCAGGATGCAGATACAAATGGCAAAGAACTGCATTATATATAAGTGTGCACCAGAGGTGGGTTCCTACCAGTTCGCACCTTTTCTAAGGGGACCAGATTTTCAGATTGGTAAAGAGGGACACCTTTGACCGGGGGGGGGAGGGGGCTTGATTAAAAATTTTATACGGAGCAACAAAAATTTTCATGCAACGCAAAAATAGTATTGTAATTTTTTTTATTTCGCCATAACTACAATTTACAAATATAAATTGTAACTGTTGCCAAACATCAAAATTTTGATCGAGTGACCATGAGGATGCTGCAACGGTCGCTAAGTGT